GTTGCCCCGGCGCATCCACACCCCCTCTGCCATACCTTAGTGTGCACCGCCCAGGAGCATCACGCATCACCAACTCGGCTAGGTGACCTGACCAGACAGTGGTTGCAGGCACCCAGGCTTCCCCACGCAGCCCTGGTTGAAGCGGACACCGTGCAAGCCCCATTGCACGGGTACTTCGGGAGCTTGGTGTGAACGTGCGAGTACACGCCTTTCCTCAGGGGTTTCAGACTCCCCTGTGTGTCCCCCTTCAGGATTCGAACTCATGATACAGCTACATGTGTGTGCCAGGACCCCAGGGATCCCTGCCTGGATCCCACCTGAGTGGGCCTGGCCAGGCATGGTCCGGGCAAGGTGCCAGTCCCAGCGATTGGTACTATCCAGAAGAAACATATGTTCCGCAAGGAAAATGAGCGATAGAGAACTTCAGAAACCAAGCAGCATCATACACATGAGACCAGATAGTCGTGACCTTGAATCAAAAGCAGAATTGCAACACGAGTCCCACCAAATAAGAGCACTGCAAAAGCTCATAAGTGACAATGTTGGAATAGTCTCATCATCATTAACAAAGAACCAATGTCGACATCCTATCTGGCGCTCTGCGCCCAGACTACAAATGGCAGATCCTATCTAGCCTATCTACAATGCCGCTGGTGACGTCAACAGCTTCCTGAAGTACGAGCAGATCTCCGTCGATGCCGCAAGCACCAGGTATGTCTCGTATCACTCACAACCTCGATCCCCACCACTCACAGATGCCACGTGCACCCAAGGACCACCATGCGCCCCATCCAGCATACAGCAGCGCAGCTCGGCTATGTCTGCCTGCTCATCCAGCTCACCTGTGAGCGCGTGAGCGCTGGCCAGCGTTTAGCGCAGCAGCGCTTGGGCAGCATGCAGCCAGTGCCCGAATGCCGAATGCGTGGGCAGGCACTTTCCTAAATGGAAGTGGCCTGCCTGCTGCGTGAAGCCTGGCTGCGGTGGGCCCCTGCCCAGAAGCTTCCGGTAGGCCCGGAGAGGCTGAGCCTCAGCCCAAACGAATCAGGCCCTGGGCCTGTGGTGGTTGCCCGTGTCCAACTGCCCACGGCCTGTGTTCGGTCCATGTTGCGTATCTGGCCCAGGGCCTGCCTCATGCGAAAAAGACAGCCTGGGCCTGGGCGCTCTCAACCAACTGGCGCTGCGCAACTGCCTGAATTTCCCCAGTTGCGTGGTGACCCCAAAATGGGCCTGTAGGCCTTGGTCGAGCCTGCCTTCACTTAGGGCGGGCGACTGTACTGAGAATAGGGCCTAGTAGGGTGTATCGAGGCCTTGGGCCTCGCAGTTCTGTAAAATGACGTTAAATGATGTTTGGGCAACTGCGACACTCGCCTTTTTTTTTTTTTTTTTTTTTTTAATTTGGACCATTTCTCGATTTATGCGTGTCATCCTTGCGCAGGGGCCATGCTAATCTTCTCTGTATCGTTCCAATTTAAACGGATGTCCCGAAGGACAACCGTGACACTCGCCTTAATGACGACTTTCTTAATTTTCTGGGCGACCGCAACACTAGCAAATGAAGCGCTCCTTTGCACTGTTTGTTCTCTCAGGCATCGCGAAGGAGAATAGCGGCAAAAGCCCCTCCAAGTTGGCTTCCCAAAGTTCAAGGAAAAAGTGGATTCTGCATGTTCTTGACAAGCACATTCACACAGTGCAACCAGAAGAGGAAAAACAATAAAAAAGTTGACAAAACAATATTTTCACTTTTCTTTTTTGGTCCGCCTGGATTGGACAGACGGACCCTTCCCCGGCTGTCCGTCCCGGGCAGCCCTGCTGGCCAGACCTATTTACCCAGCTCAAATGTTTGTTTGCTCTCCTTGCATCAACTTGAAAGTCTTGAAGTCTTGAAGATGACGCTCTGAATACTCTAGTTGTGTTGCGTCATTCTCTATGACTCTTTTGACTGAATCTAGCCACCAGCAAGGTCACATACGCTGAGGAAATTCCAAGTTTAAGAGTATGCTTTACTAAGGTCACATATGATCTATCTTTGATATCCGTGCTTTTATGCTTTTGTTGTTTTATAGTACTGGTCTTTGCTTCGAAGATGTTTTTGCTTAGATTTTGGCAATGGGGTCTTTATCTGTAAAATGTGAATTACTTCCAATTGTTAGACGATTGAGGTTGTAGTCTCACTATGACTTTTCTGCTTGAATCCGGTTGCAATCATGGCCCGGCATGGGTGTGTCCGACTACAATCATGTCCAGATCTGAGTAGAAAAGTCCTGAAGTATGAGTATGAACCTGAAAAAAAATGGTTAGTGTCTTCGAAATGTGAATCGGTGCCAACTGTTGGAAGATTGACAATTGTTTGTGACTTCAACAAAATGTGAACTGGTTCCAGTTCATAATCCGGTACTGTTGCGGATCGTTTTGGTTTCGTCAAGTTCGATTATGGTGGTGGATTGTTTCGGTCCTAGGAAGATTGCTTGCCTGCGATTTACTCTTCTGATGGAAGACTACTGTCACCAGCTTGTGATTGCGTTGTGCTTTGTTTGTTATCCCTTTTTTCTGGTCTCTTCCATTGTTTGACGAGGATGCCTTCGCTCTTCGCTGACGTTCAGTACGTGGCCAGCAGATTGTTTTTGGAATTTTTGCAGATTTACCAGCGGGGTCTCGTTGAAATGCGGGCAATGCATCGGCCGAGGACAGTGCCTCAGGCAGAAGCAGACGATGCCGAAAGATTGGCGCGCGGAGGAGACTTGGAAAATGTTGACACGCGGCAGCTGGTGAAGGCTCAACAGGGTGCACGTCGGGAATGTTCAGCACGTGGAAGTTGAGGCAAAGGAGCGGACTCAACATGTGAGCTCAACATGTGGTAGTTTGGTTAAGGTTGGTTAAGGCTCAAGACAAGGCATTTTGGGAAGGCTCAACATGTGGCCGTTGGGGAGTGGGTGACAGAGGAGAGGAATGTTGCACCTGGGCCAAGTGAGTGAGAGGGCAAGGAAATGTTCCACCTGGGCCCAGATAGCTGTGCTTGAGGAGGATGGCTGGGGCCAAATGAGAGAGGTAACATACTGGGGTCTAAATCTTCCGATGGATGGAAAGAAAGTCTAAAAGCGGGGTGAGCAAAGGAGGACTACAGAGGGATGCAGATGTCATCTCAGTGATTACTGCATGGTAGTCACTTGGTCAAGAACCGTGTGAATCGCGCAATGACCACCAAGGCATTTCATTCATCAGAAGATTCTAAAAGTGGGGTGAGCAAAGGAGCACCACAGAGGTATGTCGATGTCGTATCAGTGATTACTGTGTGGTAGTCGCTTTGGTCGAGAGGTGTGAATCTCACAATAACCAAGGTATTTCATGCAACAGAAACCCCTCTGGCCCCATAGGAGGGGACTTTATCATAGTATTTGTCCACCCTTACCGTGCTGTCAGTGACACGTGACTGTGTGGCAAACACAATGATGCTGCAAGTGAAGATCTATCTATCCACCTCATCAAATGTACAGATGTGACGCTGTAAGGGGTCATTCATGACTTCAACGACAAGGCATAGGTGTAATAATAATGAAGTAAATGCTAAATATCTAGTATGTAGCAGAGGTGATGCAGTACATGGCTGTTTACGGAGCTGGAGTTCGGAACCCCAGCCCATCGGAAAATGCCTTCCACTCCACTCTGCATTACTCCTGGCACTGTACACTGGCGTGTATGTGCGGTCCCTTACAGTCCCATCAAGTCCCGTTGGATCTCTCATCCAACCTACATACCAAGTGTGCAAAGTGTCGAGTCTCTTAGGGCCCACGCGGGTCACGTCACTTATTCCTCTTTGTGCTGCTGGTCCTTGACGATTCCCATCCATTCCCGTCCTCCTTCCCCGCCTATTTCGCGTAGAGTTAACAACTCCTTCCCATGCATGGTTAAGAATGTTACGAAAGACGCACTTTGCGGCTTTGGTGCTCTGCTCGTTCGTTCTTCGCCGATATATTTTGATATTTTTTACAGGCGTTAGTTCCCTCGTGCTCCTGCTCTTTGTGTCGGTGAAAATTTTACTTCTGCGAGAGGATTTGCTTGGGATCAAAGACAAGGAAAATGTTGTCATGCGGCAACTGTTGGCCTTATTATGCGTAATGAGGCCCGTAGGGGCACTCCCTCCACAAGTTTTTTTTAGCGCTGCTCTTAATTGGGTTGGGTTGGGTTCTTTTTATTTGCTAGGCCCTGTATTAGTTTATTGTTAGATTTATTTTTAGCTTTAAGCGTCTGGGTGTACGTTTTAGGCGAGGTCGTGTTCTTTTTTATCCATGGTTCGTTCTTGATGTTCCTGTTCGAACATTGAACTTGGTCAAAGTGATATGGGAACAACACACCGAGCATCGGGGTTTGTCATGCGGTGATATAACCCTGACCCTTAGCCGTTCGACGAAATGTCGTAGGGTGGTGTGAACGAATAAGCATCAGCGTTTGTCATGCTGTGATATAAGTTCGTATAAAACCCTTCGCCGTTAGATGATGAGTGGTACAGAGTCTACTACAGACGTCTGGCTGTCGAGTAGTGCATCGCGAGTTCAAAGGTCGGCTGAGATAGTATCCAGGGGCGCATCTGCAACTTCGCTCTCAAAAAGATGGGGTGTATGAACGTCAGCGAAATGCCATCTGATTGAGCTCTCCTACGTTTGGGCCGTCATTCGTGCATGCCTTTGTCTGCAGGTCGCTCAAGTGCCGTCTTTAGCTCTAGCACGCTTGCGCCACTGTCTGTTGACTAGGTCGCTGAGTGTTTCATCCGGCGATCTTGTCTTTGGATTTTTAAAATTTTTTATGCAAAATCTTTTTCTCCATTAAAAAAATATGGAGTGGCACATAACTGTGGATGAGCCGCGACCCTCGAGGATTTTGTGGCCCTTTTTTTTTTTTTTTTTTTAATGTCAATCTTTAAAAAAATGATTCTTTATCCATCGTAAATTTGTGTTTCGGCCTGATCGAACCCCTGCGGCGTTTTCTGGTGCCGAGCGTGGAATGAGGCAAGTTGTCCCTTTTGGGTTCTTTAGAAGTAAAGATTGGATCTCAGGATTTTTTATTTTTTTTTGGTACTAATCGAGTCACAACTGAGCGGATAGATGTCATCTTCTCTGGCATCCAGATTTCATCACCTTTTCTCTTCCTCCATGGTGATGCGGAAAGGAAGAGGCGACAGCTCGATTCGATTGCCTTTGCAGGCTTGCGACGCACGGGGCTCTGTGATCTTCTCCTCTCTCATCACTCACTCCAAGCCATTTCGTTCAGTACAAGAAGTTTCTCAGATGGGCCCCGAGCAGGAGAGTTCGTCGCAGCAGCAAGTTGAAGTGCAGGCGCTATCCGCGCCGAGGGTGCACGGTGAGGATGTGCCGCTTGTACATCCCTCGCACCATTTGTGCGGAGAACAGCATGCCCGCAGACGCCTGTTTATGGGCCCCGGTTCCCTTCATGAGCCAATGAATAAGCGTTTCACCAGAGAGGTAGAGCATGCAGCATCCGAGACATTCCTCGTCACTCACCTAACCTTCAAGCTCCTTCGATTTCTCGGTCTCGGCTACAAATGGATGATCAAGTTTGCGGCGCTGATGGCGTACACCACATGCCTCCTTCCAGGGTTTTTGCAAGTCGCATGGTTCTATTTGATGTCAACATCGGTGCACCGAAGTATTGTGTATGGAGAGCAACCAAGAAACAGGTTGGACGTGTACTTGCCGCCAGAAATGGTGTCAGTGCCATTAGCTCAGGCAAAGGAGAGGGAGGGGGAGGAGGGGTCAGGATTGTCGGCACAGACAAATGGGGGAGAGGGAGAGGGAGAGGGAGAGGGGGAGGGAAAGCCGAGGGAGCGACGTCCGGTGGTGGTGTTTGTCACTGGCGGTGCTTGGATCATTGGGTACAAAGCATGGGGGGCTTTGTTAGGGAGAACTTTGTCAGAAAGAGGGGTGGTGGTGGCATGCCTGGATTATCGCAACTTTCCTCAAGGGCGCATCAACGACATGGTGGACGACGTCACAACGGGTATTGGGTGGGTGCTGAACAACGCAAGGGTTATGGGAGGAGACCCGAGTCTTGTGTTTCTTGTGGGACAGTCTGCTGGTGCGCATCTTGGGATGTTGTCGATCCTACGGCAAGCAATCTGTGAGGCTACGACAGGGGCAGAGAATCTGCTGTGGCGGTCATCTGACCTCCGGGGTTTTGTGGGACTCTCTGGGCCGTACGACATCGTGAATCTCGTCGAACATTTTCACAAACGGGGACTTTACCGCCGCATCTTTCTGCCCCTGATGGAGGGCAAAGACCAAGTCCACTTGCACTCGCCATCTGACATCGTCAGGAATTCCGTCTTCCGCAGGAATGGATACAGTGCCGCGTCTTTCTTTCCGCCTGTCACTTTACTGCATGGGACTGAGGATGCCTCGGTTCCCTGCACGGTTACCACCGAGTTTGCGGACACTTTGCAGTCAATAGGTGTTCACGCCAGAACACGTCTTTATCCAGGGAAGACGCACACAGATCCGATCATAGAAGATCCTATGAGAGGAGGAGAGGACGAATTGGTCGAGGACATCCTCCAGATAGTGTATGAGGGGAAAGAGCAGAATGTAGCACAACTATCAATCAGGAGGCGGTGCATGGTGCCTGACATTTTACTAAGGCTTGCTCGCTTCTTCTCTCCTTTCTGAGAAATCAACGGTGGGGAGAATGAACATGGCCCTTCAACCACTGATTTTTTTGCGGGCGATCACGAGCAATCAGCGGTGGAAGGTCTTCAGCAGATTTTTCCTGTGAAAGGCAGCAGAGTGCAATGGAGAGAAAGGGAAGATGAACTGTGAGACATAGAGGGACAGAGAGAATGGGGAACGGGACAAGGGGAGATAGAGGGAGACAATCATACATGAGAGGGAGAAGAATCTACTGCACAAAGAGGAAGAGAGGAGGAGGATAAGGACAGCTGGAAATGAACAGATGGAGGGAAAGGAGACCGAGAGAGATGCATGAGGGAAGAGTGCAGCGAGTGTACAGAGGGAGGGGCAGACACCGAGGTGTATTCAAGCAGAGACATAACTATGGAGAGCCAGAGAACGGGAGGAGGACACAGGGAGATGGACATAAACATAGTGTGCCACAGAGAGAGAGAGAGAGAGAGAGAGAGAGAGAGAGAGAGAGAGAGAGAGAGAGAGAGAGAGAGAGAGAGAGAGAGAGAGAGAGAGTGGGAAGGAGGGGGTGTGGGGGGGGGGGGGGGGGGGGGGGAGAGAGAGAGGGGGGGGGGGGGGGGGGGGGCGCTTTTGGGGGAAGGAGGGAGACAAATGGAGAGGTACTGCGCGGTCACTCGAACCATTGGATGTTACATGGAAAAGTCATATCGACAGAGTTCTGCAAGGTGGTGTTGCATCCTCCTTTCAGTTAGTTATCCTTTCCAAGTCTGAAGAAGTTGATTGAACTTTCAGTTTTAACTTTTAAGAGGTCGAGTGTCAGCTTTAACTGCGAGTCAATGGATTTTCAGAGTTTTTAATGTCGTGTAACACTTTTAATGCCGGAGATCTTATATCTCGTAGGATCCATGATGTAGAGCTGTTTGGTTTTAAGAGTTGCTTATGCAGCTTCTTAATGCGGGGGGAGGGGGGGGGGGGGGKGGGGGRGTGGGGKGGCGGGGGGGAGCAGATGAAGGGGAGATGGGGAAGGGTGTGGCGGTCAAAAGTCATGATAGACAGTGTCAAATTGTCAGCCTGTGCCATGAGTCTTTTGTACGCTTGGTCGCTTTCTTGAAATGCGACCACATTGGCCGGCCATTCGGCACTCAGATGAGAAAAAGACCAGCCCGGGCGGATCTTTTCTATGATTGACAGTGGTCTTATTTTAAATCGGCTATTGTCCAACATGGCCAAATGTGAAAAAAAAAAAAAAAAAAAAAAAAAAAAACAGCACGGGCGGATCTTTTCTATGGTTGAAACTTGACAATGGCAAATGGCCAGATGGTTAGTGTGGGCATAGTCGTTTTTTTTTTTTTTTTTTTTTTTTGGGCATAGTCATATTTTAGATGAACTAATGTCAAAAGCTCTGCTTGGAGGCTGAGAGCTTGGGTAGGGACAACTGGGTGGGGGTGTTAGACATTGACTTGATTGGATAGTGACATAGTGCTGATTGAAGATAACGTTGATTGGATACTGTTTTGAGGGAGTGGATATTGTTGATCGAGGGTGTAACACTGTAAAATAGAAAGAACTGGCACCAGCGCTTTTTATCGACTTCATCTGCCTGTGGACAAGTCGTCGTGATCAGTCAGATACATTGGGGAATGCTGGAGCGCGAGTATCGCCATCATCCATCAGATACATCGAGGAATATGTTGAAGTACGAGTATGCCGTCTGTTAGCCGGACTTGTTTGTCGATCCGGAAGACTGCAAATGTTGAGGTGGGGTGGATAATGATTGATGGTACACACTTGGGTGACGGCGAATGGTTACCTGGGACTTGACAATTGTGGGACCTTCCTTCCTTGTTCCAACATGGGACTGGACAGTCGACAGTGACAGTTCCAAGACTGTCCATGCTCCGGTTAGGAGATCAGCTTAACTTTTAAGTTTTAACCCAGGAAGTAGCTTCTTGTTTGTTTGTTTGTTTGTTTGTTTGTTTGTTTGTTTGTTTGTTTTTGTTTGTTTGTTTGTTTGTTTGTTTGTTTGTTTGTTGTTGTTTTTTTTTTTTTTTTTTTTTTTTTTAACAAGAACTCCACTGGTTCTACTAGGAGGGGGGATGATTCGGGCAGCCCCTCCTAGTAGGCCGGCCGGGTGCTCCAATCTGTCGGTGGCGAGCAACACCTGCTCGAAAATGGGTCCCGTGTCCCGGAGTACATCAGCTGCTGGAATCGGGGTCCAGCATCCCAAACATGTCATAGGTGCAGATTATGAATTGTATAGGAGCATTCAAGTGCTGCAAACCGGTTGCAACGTCCCATTGTTCCGAAGCCCAGGCATAGATGGAAGGTGGAACCGCCGGGGCCCGGGGGGCACCAGTGCAATCATTGGTACCTCTGCCCACCACTAATCCTGCTGATCCTGCGGCTGAGAGCTCCTGTTCTTCCTACTCGGTGTCGACATTACATCTCGTCAACAAGATAGTTCCCAAAATTGTTGTTGATGGACAGTGGATAGGTAATTGCCTAATAGCCTAGTAATAGGTATATTAGAGGTCAGTGCGGTGTGAAAATGATGGTTATGGGTTATGGTTGTGAGTCGGCAAAGTTGTGCCAAGTTTCCAACCATATTAAGGTTGAACCATTGAGGAATACGAGGTCCGTCCAGGACAAGAGCAAGATTGTTGTGAAGGTTGGGAGTCTTGTGACTTCCATACTTAAGTTTAATAGGTACTTCAGATACTTTAGGGTAACTTGACAATGATGGGCTTATGGATGATGCAGTTATGGGTGCAAGTCAGCGCAGCTGTAATCTTCTTTCTCTGATAATGAATGCAGCAAGGCTTTTGTGGATGTTGCTGCCATCAGTTGCAATTGTCTGGAGTTAGTCACTCAAGAAGAAGAAGAAGAATGAGATTGTTCAGAATTTTCACCTCCTAAGTTTTCAATTGCCATAACAAGTTGTGTGGGTGTTTGGAAGTTGATGATGCACTTGTGGCTCAACTTGAAAGCAGCAGAGTGGCATGTGTTTTGTTTCACATTTTGCTGTGATGGTGATGATGATGATGATGATGATGATGATAATGATGATGATGATGACTATCATCTTCGTGCGATTTGTTTCACATTTTGCTGTGATGATGATGATGATGATGATGACGATGGCAACGATGATGACAATGATGATGATGATGATGATGATGATGATGCTGATGATGATGATGATGCATGACGATGAGGATGAGGATGCGGTGGATGTTGCAATCTGTTGCAATAGCAGACAGACAGCAGCAACTTTGATCAGATACTTCCGGAAGTCTTGATTTGTGACAGATGGTTAGCGCGGAGGGCTGAAAGTTCACCGATTTCGCCACACCGCCACAAGCAACATAGTGGAAAACTTTCAAAAACGATATTCCCGAAAGCACCTACCTAACTTTTTTTTTTTTTTTTTTTTTTTTTTTAGAACAATTGCTCCAGTCTATTCGTGGGGAGCAGCACGTGCTGGGAACCGGGCCCAGCGTTCCATATCGAATTATACAGATCATTGAGAACATTTGAGGTCGTTTGAGGTCATTTGAGATACTTGGGGCCATTACCCGGCTTCGGCTGAGAACAATCTGTGAACACGATGAGATTCAGAAACATGGGGAGGATCCTGAGTATCTAATGACCTATTAGGGAATTATTACTCATGCAATAACCTGCCACAGAGGTCCTACGAATGCTCACTCCCCTCAGGTTCCTTGACAAACCCTTCTAAGACTTTCCAACACCGTCTTACTCCCTGCTGAGCTCTTCCAGGCCTCACGCCGCCACCCTGCTGGGTTACAGGGCAACACAACTCGCCCCAGCTCCGACCAGCGTCATCCCAGCACCAACCCTTGGTCGTCCCTTGGGATGCCCACCCCAAAGCATCCCCAGATCTCTCTACCAGGCCTCACGCTCCTGCGTCAGCAGGTTACAGGGCAACACCCCAGCACCGGCCAGCGTTGTTCTGGCATCGAACGGCCACAGAGATCACTGAGTATAACAGCATCGAAACCGCCTAAGATGGATTGCTAAGAAACCCTAAAATCCTAAGACATTCATAAGAACAACCGACTTTTTTTTAAAACAAGAAAAAAAGCGAAATATCTGGCCAATCTGACAGTTTCAGTGCAAAATGCGACGAGGAAAATCACCCCCTCGGTTAACCGTGTGTATGTTGTGGGGAGGCTGTAAGAGTGATGATGTGTGTGGTTTTTGTACGTCTGAAATGTCTGTTTTAGTCATTTCCAAAACTTTACATGTCGATTTGAGTATTTTATTATTTTCTATTCTTAGAACTTTATTCATTCTCAAGAGTTGGTCGGCCAGGTGCGTTGCAACTTGCAATTGATGTGATAACCAGCCATCCTTATGAGGGTAACTCTAGGATGTAGGGAGGAGAGAGAGAACACAGTTTGCTGTTTTGACTGTTGCTTTATTTGGCAAGGTTGTCATTTTTGGACCATGTCATCATCATCTGGAATAGAAATTGACATTCATGCAGAAGTTGAGACTTGTGAAGTTTCAAGTTTAAAAGTTTAAACTACTTTCGTGGACAAGTTTGAACTTGTGAAAGTTTAAAAAGTTAAAAAACTGTCCTTCGGGATCCGTTAAAATTGGAACGATACAGAGAGAGAAGATTAGCATGGCCCCTGCGCTTTCAAGGATGACACGCATAAATCGAGGAATGGTCAAAAAAAAAAAAAAAAAAAAAAAAAAAAAAGTTAAAGAACTACATTCGTGGACAAGTTTGAAGTTGGAACCGGTGAACCATTCGTATCTCTTTTCGAATTGGGGCAGAGGGCTCGTAGTACCTTTATTAACAGCAGCAGCCTAGCAATAGGCGCGCAGCGCAGCGCTGGTCTGGTTTTGTACACAGTCAGCAGACGGGAAGGAGCCTAAATCGATGGACTCGAAAAAGCACATCGCATATTTGAGCAGTACGAAACCGTTGGCGGTCGGATTGAACTTGTAAACTTTAAAGTTTAAAAACTGCATTCGTGGACAAGTTTGAACTTGGTAGTAAGTTTAAAGTTTAAACTATGTATTTATAAAGTTTAAACTATGTATATTTTAAACTTTAAAGTTTAAACTATGTATATTAAACTTTAAGAGTTTAAAACTATGTATATTAGACTTTAAGAGTTTAAACTATGTAGTTGTCAAGCCACAGGTATACCGTTCACGACACCTGTGGACCAGCTGTTGATGAGAAATTGGAGTTCATGGACAAGTTTGAACTCTAAAGTATGTGTGTGGTTTTAAACCACGGCTACCTGTAGAAGGCCTGAGTACAGATTCGCCGCGGCATGCTGATCTGCAATTACCAGGGAGTCGAACTTTAAAGTATGTGTGTGGTTTTAAACCACAGCTAACTGTAGAAGGCCTGAGTACAGATTCGCCGATGTATGCTGATCCGCAATTACCAGGGGGAGTCAAACTTCATGTTCTCGAGTAGCAGAGAACAATCCGAAGTGAGTCAATGTTTCAGGATTCGCTCCGCCTTAAGCCGCCAGTACTTGGCCCCAGCCTTGCAGAAAGTTTTTGTCGCTACAAGCAAAAGGTCGGAGGGGCCACCCGGCCCGGGGTGCCGTAGGAAAGAAGAATCGGCGGCCTCCGAAGTGGTGCGGGTTTCATGCTGCCACCTGCAGGCCTATGTGTGGTGTACTGGTGCGTTAAAGCCTTGCTTCCTATTGTCATTAACATTGCAGCACGAGTGTAGCCGAGCCAATCTTTGGCAATGACATAGGGATTGGAAATCGATGTTCATGGACAAGTTTGGACTTGAAAGTGTATAGTTTTAAGCCACAGCTACCTTTCACAGTGATCACTCTGGCTAGCAGGAGACGGCCTCGTTTGCAGTTGGTCCGTTGGATTTTGCTGATTCAACGGCGACCACAGCAACAGAATTGTTATCTGTCCTTTCTTCTGTCTGTCGTACCCTCTGTGGGCTTCAGTCAGCACATCTCCCTCGTCTGATGTCCTCCCTCCACCCCCTCCCCTTTGCTCCCACCTTTTTTCTCCCTCCCCCTCATGGTTCGGTGACTTCTTCTGCGCTATACAGCGGCCACGTCTTTTGTTTTTCCTGCCTGCGGTGATTGTCCTGAATTTTGAGGTGGTATTGGTGGTTTCTGATGGTGCGACGACTCCCTCAACGACGGTAAAGCTTGTGTGAACGCCGTCATGACAGTCTGCAGGCAATTGCCATGGAGTGCAGTTTGCAGGCAGGGTGGTTTGAACCCTTGTGGGTATGTTATGACGTGAGTGACAAAGGGAAAAATGAACCCCAGCCTGATCTTAACTGGACGGTCAGAAACTGCCTTCTTCACCCGAATACAACGTACGGTCATTATAGCTGTATTTGAGCCATCTTTCAGTCTAGATACAAGCTATAATGAGCGTACGTTGTATTCGGGGGAAGAAGGTAGTCTTCATTGCGGCACACGGAGCCTGATCTTAACTGTGTAAACAGAACGTGATCTTCCTAACTGTGGCAAACGGAACCTGATCTCAAACTGGATGATCTGAATCTAATCCTCATCATGATTGCGGCACACAGGGAGCCTGATCTTACCTGTGGCAAACAGAAACTGATCTTTTTTAACTGTGGCAAACAGAACCTGATTTTTTACTGTGGTGGTAAACAGAACCCGGTCTTAAACCACCAGTACCTTTCCCATATGTCGACCGCGGGCACTGCGCACCAGCCCGAAAATCGAGACTGGCCGCCGGTTCGATTTATTGGTGGACGCCCTTAACTGTGGCAATCAGAACCTGATCTTAAACCACCACTACCCTAGCCAGCCTAAAATGGATTTTCCTGGCCTTACGGACCGGGTTCTTAGGGGGGGCGGCGACCGGCAGGCGCAGGCGGGTCCGGTCCAAGAATTCTCAAGCGCGAAAATTTGGCGATTTTTCGTGCTCAGAAAAATTGGGAAAAAAATCTGAAAATTTGATATCCTGTAGATTAGGTCGCGATCTTTCCAGGAAGAATATAAAAACATTGGAAAAAAAAAATTTAGACCGTGTAGTAAATGCCGCGCCGTTTCGTGACATTTTCCATTTTTGCTACTCTACCATGTATGGGCCAATGGGAAAAGTAACCCAACTTTTTGCGATCAGAAGGAACCCAACAACTCTGAAAATTTGAGGGTACGTACATTTTGTCGTGACCTTTACAGGAAAAATATTAAAAAATAAAAATAAAAAAATCATTGGAAAAATATTAAAAAAATAAATAAATTCATTTGAACCGCGAAATAAATCGCCGGGGTAATTCGGCGCATTTTTGAATTTTTCCACTCCGCCTGCTCCCTCCACTGTGCTACCAGTAGCCCTCATGGACCTGTGCTACCGGTTCCCCCTAATTTATGACAGTGGGGGTAGTGGTGGTTTAACTGTGGTGGTAAATGGAACCTTGTTGTAACTGTCGCAAACAGAACCTGATCTTCACTGTGGCAAACAGAACCCGACCTTAAACCACCAGTACCTTTCCCATACATTGGCCGCGGGCACTGCGCGCCGGCCCGAAAATCAAGATGGGCATTTGGGTAGCGAGCCTCTCCAGTGTGACCCGAAAAATGACTCAAATTTTGGGATTTTGGGTTTTTTGGTCCTCGTGCGAGTATGCCCTGATATTAGCTGTGGTAAAAGGAACTATTATTAAACTGAACCTGATCTCATCTGTGATAAACGGAACCTGATATCAACTGTGGCAAAAAGAGCCTGATCTCAACTGTGACTGTGACAAACGGAATGTGATATTAACTGTGACAAACGAGGCCTGATCTTAAACCACAAGTACACGGCCCCAGCCTTGCAGAAACATAAACTCTCGTTTTGCACATTTCGGGAGAAGGGGAGTGAGGGGCAGTGACACAACTGCTACGCAATTTCGAGAATGACAGCCTTGTTCCACTCCTCACCAAATGTGCAAAATATATGATGAATCTTTCCCTGGAACATGGAAACATACACAACCATATTTTTTGTCTTTTGTGCATGTGGTGAGTAGTGGAGCGTGTACACCAAAGGGCCTAGCTGCACCACTCTCCAAATGTGCAAAATGAGACTGAATCCACCACTAGAACATGGAAAGATACATTGCCATCGTTTTTGTTGTTTGTGCATGTGGAGAGTAGTGCAGGGAGGCCCAAAGCCTGTATGAATAGCACAACAATCACGTCCAGAGCTTTTAGTAGAAGGAAGTTTCTGTCATAGAAAGAGGTAATTGCAGAAATAGCGTGTTTTCAAAGTTTGGCAGCAGAAATGT